ATAAAATAAAATAAAATAAAATAAAGTTAAATTAAATTAAATTAAATTACATTAAGTAAGATAGAAAAAAGAAAAATACAACTTCCAGAAAGTAAAAAATGTCCAAATTTTCTGCATTTTAGAAGTTTATAATTTGAATATCTCAAAAAAAAGCTTATAAACTTTGGCTACATTTTTTTATACCCTACCTCTTACTTATCGTAAAATATTTATTTTGTTGGGCCAGTTTTCAATTTATCTTTTAGTTATTCTAGGAGCTCTTCTTGCCGGTAACTCAAATAAGCAAACACAAGTTTCCCTTTTTCCCCCTATGCATATCGGCGTTGTTTCTCGTCTTATTTATTTATTTATTAATTTAGAATAAAACATAAAAACCACTACCCATTAGATACAATCTAAAATATGACAATATGAAANCTCGTCTTATTTATTTATTTATTAATTTAGAATAAAACATAAAAACCACTACCCATTAGATACAATCTAAAATATGACAATATGAAAACAATTAGTTAATATACACACATACATGAACAAAATCGTTCAGTATGACACTTACTTTGCGATTTTTTAAATTTCAAAATTATAGAAAAAAAGTATTTTACGTGTTATTTCTTTAGAGCCCTAAACGAGACCAGAAACATTTTCTTTTTTATAAAAAATTTTGAGATATTCGAATATGTAATAAATTTCTAACATACCGGAAATTGTGAAATCTAGAGTTTGCATAAGTTTGAAAAAAGTTTAACGTTTTCCATTGGAAGAACTTCGTAATAAGATAAAAGGAAAGTTCTGACCAAAATAAAACCATTCCATTTATTAGGTGATTTGGCCCATATCTAAAATCAAAAATTGGAAAATACTTGTAAAATGAAAAGGTAATGAACCAAATAACGCATCGAAGTAAACATGTCAATGTTTTAGAAGATAGAGAAATAGAGCATAAAAAATAAATCCAACAACTAATATAAAGATTATATATTTGGCGTCGCATTGGCCACCGTGCTGAGTAAATGTGTACGTATGTCCAAAAGCAAGTAAAAAATAAATCTCTAAGCAATCACAAATACTAAAATAAGGAATTGGAATAACTATTACTATGATACTAAATTGGAAAGCAACATAAAATTTAAAAAAAGTCAAATAAAGGAATAATCGAAATCCTAAAATGTAGAAAGTGCACTAGATATCCATAATTTTCTAATGAAATGAAGCTTTAAACACTAGAATTAAAAGAAAAGAGATAATAAGTTACAAATGTGGGCCACATAGTCACAATATTTGAGATGATTCGTCACAGATTGAAAATTCAAGTAAGAAAATCTCCTACGAAAGAGCAATCAGAAAGTAATTTCGGTGTGATAGCATGAAAGGAAAATTACACTGTACAACACAAAAAAATTACAAGATTCCGGTAGAGGGGAATGCCTGAAATTACATTCTCTACCGCCGAATACATCTGTATAAAATAATACCAAATTATCCAATAATTAAGTAACTATAATCCTTAAAAAACCAGCAAAAAATAAATTGGTTTATTTTCATTCAAACCACAAAAGAATTAAAAAAAAAAAACAAAGAAAGGCCTATAAATAGTTCCAACAAATCCTAAAAGGCAGCTGTAATTTTAGACAGAGTTTTATTCTCGAAAACCAAGTGATTCAAAGAAACCAATGGTTCCTAAAATACCTAAAAAAATATTCAGAGTTCCTAAGAAAATTACTAAAAACTAAAAAAAAATTACACAAATAAAATTTAAGGTCTTCACATATCGATAAAAAAGATATTAAAAATAATGAAGCATCGTTCGTGCCAAAGCTAAATTCAAAATTTAAACCAACAAAAATTATTAAATAACTAAAATACAGCGCCATAGAGTATATGTTTCTGTGCTGTATCTTATTATGTGAAAAGTAAAGAATGGCATAACAAAACAAATAAAGGAAATCAAAGCAAAAAGGTTCAACTCAACAAACCACGAAAAGTAAATAAGGCAAAACGGAAACGTAAATAAAGCGCACACACAGAAAATAATGAAATCAAATACAAAAATAAAAATATAAAAAGCAGTGCGAATACACATATGTATGTATGTAAGTGCCAAGTAAAATCAGCGACGAGTTGCAACAAAGAAAGGTGTGCCAGAAAAATAAATTGTTGCAAAACAAAACTTACCACTTCTGAGTGCAAAACTTTTTAACTTTCTACACCGAACTTTATGCGCCACTCGAAAGTGAAAGTTTTGACTTTTGTGAGTTGCGTGAAACTTGCTGCATACTTGAAGGCGCACAAGCAAGCCAAACTTTAAAATGAATATGTCACCCTGCGAAATGAACTGTTGCGCCGTCGCAGCGTCGCCACCGCCACCGTCCGTTTTGCGTTGTACTGAAGCAGAGCGGCTTTTGTCTCTCGTTGCCTGCCGGCGCGACGCCACAACAAAGCAACAGTTGGCTGCCGTGGAGCATCTGGCGGCACAGCGACACAAACGACGTGGCAGCGCTGAATGCGAAAGTCCAACAACGCAACGAAAAAGCTGCTCATCCTCACCACNAAGTAGATATATGTATTTGGGGTATTGACATGAAACAACAACAATCATGCTATCTATGCACCATGCTAGACAGTATGCACCGGATCGTGAATACCCATATTTTGTTGTTTGTATTGTTGTTGTTATAACTTCTTTCAACGCATACGGGTGATTTTTCAAGGTCGCGACACGTCACATTTTCGGTTGGTTCACCATAACCGAAACGACCTAGATTCGTATTTGGCTAAGGACTGTCATTTCAGCATCGTCCCCCATTTGAAGTTGAATATTTGAAAACACGTTAGTAGGTGTGTCTGTAGCAAAACATGCAGAGATGCTTGCTGTTATTTGTTAACCGTCAGAGACGGTATATCATTTTTTTTTCTTATATTTTTGTTTTTGAGTTTTCTTAATTACCAAAAAGCATCTGTGAAGTGAAAGACAAAACAAAATCAAAGGACGAAGAACATTGATTCAAATTTGAACATTTGCGGACACATTTACAGAACGGCTGTAGCTGAGGGTGCAGAGATGCCTGTTGTTATTTGCTCATTTCAAGAAAGTGCTGGTTCGAATCTCATCAGCGGCAACATGCAAAATAATAAATAATTTTTTTTTTTTTAATAAATATATCAACAGTGGATTTTTTAATATTAAATAAAATTCACTTTGATTCCTTTTAAAGTTTGAATTTGGTATTATTAACCAACTTTTGATTGATTTTTACCTCAGTGAAAATATTGAGAAGTGCTCCGTCCATTTTCAAGTGCATTCTCAACGACTGCTTGCAGTTTCCCATCTTAATTTCTATAAAAATTTTAGCATTGTATTGCTGTTTTTTTTTCTGAAAGGATTTTCCAGAGACGAAAAATAATAAAAATGTTTAATGTCATCGATAACTATTATTTTGAGACACATGGTAATAAAGTCAGCGAGAATCCTTTAAAGTTTTCGAAGGCTTCTATTTTGAGTCTTATTTAAAAAGAAAGTCCTTCAATAATAATTATGAGTGACAAAAGAAGGACGGGGCTTGTTCAGGACCATTTCGGGAAAAGATAAGGACTTTCTCGGTACCAATTTCGGACTTGTTCACCATCATTTTGAGACTAGTGCAGAGCTAGTGCGACCACATTTCGGGGCTACTCTCGGGTCAGTTCGGAAGTATTTCAGTATTGGTTTCGAACTGGTCCCAAAATGGCCCCGAACTAGGCCCGAAGTTGTATTGAACAAGTCCCGCCCTTTAAGACTTCACAATTTTTTTCTCATCCATAATAAAATTAATATACCCTTGTGCACAAGTGCGCTCGGGTATAAATATATTTATCTCGGTAATATCGAATTATTATGAAAACTCTTTTACAATATGTCTCAAATAATTATAGATGCCTCGAAAATTTTGTAATATCTACTGTTAAAGAATTTGATAATGGTTTTTGTGGCTATTTAAAATTAATGTTATTGAAATCCAAAATCGTATGTATCCATTACGCATCACTTCACAATTAACTATAATTAAAAGCTAGGTAGAATTTTGAAGTTTTGAAATTCATATTTGTCCTTTCTCCCCTTCTCGTCCACAGAAACCCAGCAATTATTCGTGGCCCTTAGCGGCCGTCACACCACCAGCGGTAGCGAGTGCAACAACCGCGCAAGCGTTAGTAACAACACCTACCAACTCTGGCGGTAACACCAACAACAACAATCAGTCATCACAAAACCATCTTTCCTTGCAACCGGCCTCTGGTGCTGCCACACCAACGCCACCCGTCGGCGGGATAGATTTGCATGCAACGGTCGGTGATGCAGAGGCGCACAATTTTAACGGCACACTAAAGTCACCCGATCAACAACAAGCGTCAGCGTTACACTCACCTTCGTCCCAACAGCAACAGCACCAACAGCAGCAACACCATCAGCATCACTCCACAGCTGCGAGTCAGTCGCAACAACAACAACAACAACAACACTCACACACCCATCAGAGTTTGCATTCCTCTGCCTCGACGCCCAGTTCGCCCACAGCGGCTAGCGCAGCTGCAGCAGCAGCAACAGCGGCTGCAGCCGTAGCCGCCACTATGCCTATCGGCGGTGTACAGGGGCAAAATCCTACGCAGGGTTTGGTGCATTGGATGAGTGCCGTTATGGCCGAGCATATGACTGGGCAAACGCATCACGACCCGACGGCAGTTGGCATGCATTACATGTGGAATGGCAATGTGGATGTAAGTACACGAAAAACAAAATTTGCCCCTTTTTTTTTATGCGACGAATATTTGGGTATGCATTCTGTAGTTATTTATTTGATTTAAATTCGCTGGCCGCTATGGTTCAGAAGCTGGGCTACGGAAATTTTTTTACTGTAATATTTTTACATCTATGGCCAAACAATTAGTGAAACTCATCTTAGGTAGCAATTGTTAAAATAATTTTTACAGCGAACTCATGTATAGAGCAAAGCAATATTTAGCAGAAAAATTACAATACTTCGACTTTTANACTCGATTTAATTGTGCATACAATCGGAAATTTTTTTACTGTAATATTTTTACATCTATGGCCAAACAATTAGTGAAACTCATCGTAGGAAGCAATTGTTAAAATAATTTTTACAGCGAACTCATTTATAGAGCAAAGCAATATTTAGCAGAAAAATTACAATACTTCGACTTTTATTAGAACGAATATATAGTAAATAAGATTATAGCTTCTTAACCTATGTAACTAAGTATGTGCATTAATGGTAGATTCTAGAAGAGGTTATATCAAACCGTATTTTTACTTTTCGTTCAAATCAGGGATTGGCATGCCTAAATACCTTTAAATGACTAAATATTCAAGTAAAAAAATACTTAGGTATTGAGGAGCTGCTAGATACCAAAGTTCAAAAAAAAATTAAAGTATTTAGCAGACACTGCACACTCTGGTCCAAAGTACTCAGGTAATTTGGAGATGCAAAATACTTTCACTTAAGTGCCAATGTATTTAGTCGATGACTTTCAAACTAGATACTTTATGATTTAGGAAAAATTAAAGAAATTCACATCTTACATTACACTCACCTCAACAAAACTTACCAAAACTTCAATTTACCACAACTTCACCTCACACAAACAAATCACACCTAATCCTACAGCAGCTCAATTCGCCAAACCTTAATTCACCACAACTGAACTCAGCACACAAGTCCATACCACACCTCACCTAAACTCAGCACATTTCAATTTGGGACCTATTTCGGGATGTTAGAGATTATTGGGACTAAATTAGGATTTTAAAGAATATTTCGGATTTTCGGAACCATTGCGTAATTTTCGAACCTATTTGGGAAATTGCGTTTTATTTATCGAAGGTGATATCGATAAACCTGTCGATAATTTGTCTATTTATTTATCGATATTGTTATCGATACACGGTTAACGATATTTTTGTCGATTCATTAATTGATGTTGTTATTGATATAATAATCGGTATTGTTATCGACATATTAATCGATATTGTTATCAATATATTAATCACCTAAAAATTCTTGAAATAGTTCCCAGAACCTCAAAAATTCTTATAACTTCGAAGTAGTCGCGAAATAGTCCTCAAAATCACGAAATAGTCCCTACAATCCCGAAAATCCTGAAATATATAGCTTCTAACATCCCGAAGTGGT